GAGAAAGCATGAGAGGCAAGCCGACTTGTTCTTCCTCTTTCTATTCCTGCCTGGACCAGCAATTTTACTGCTATTCTGTAACAGATCTGTCACATGCAGGCTTAGATAAAAAATATTTCTGTATAGAAAAAAGTTGTGAAAGTGATATTTTTTAATTCCTAATGCTGTTACTCCATGAAAAAGCCAACAGTGGCAATGGGGAGGAAGGGAGAGACTTACCCTATGTGAAGGGAAAATAACTCAGCAACTGGAGTGGAAATAGTGATTATTATCAACTAATAGGAATTATGTCAATCTAAATATTACTCACTGACAGCATAGCTATGTACAATTTATGATAAGGGAATAACTTACGCAATGGTGAATACTTAAGAAAGACCTGAAATTCTTATATTTCTTCTGCATTCAAAGTTTAACCTTTATAAAAAATTAGGAACCAAGTTATATTCTGAATCTTCCTTTTTTAAAAATTTTTGAGTTTAGAGGCCTTTATATATTGTGAACACAAATCCTTTGTCAATGAGATTTGCAATTATTTTCTCCTAGTCTGTGGCTTGCTTCTTCATCGTCTTTACAATGTCCTTTGCAGAAGTAATGGTATGAATTTTGATAAAGGTCAACCTATCAGCTTTTTTCTTTTGTTGACTGTTTTTGGTGTCACACCTAAAAGCTCTTCAACTAACTCCAGGTCACAAAGACTTTTTATGTTTTCTAAAGGTTTCATAGTTATATGTCTTACATTTAAGCTCGTCATCTATTTCGAGTTAGTTTTTGTGTTAAGATATGATGTTTGGTCAAGGTTTTTTTTTCCCTGCTAGGGATGCCCAGTTTTTCCAATACCATCTGTTATAAAGACTATATTTTCTCCATTGAACCATGACTATACTTCTCTCAAACATCAGTTAGCTGTACCAGTAAGCTGTACTTGTTTGACGCTGTACTGCTTTGGGAATATCACACTGTCTTGATTATTGTAACTATACGGTAAAAATCGGGAGTGTGATTTCTCCAATTTTATTTTCTTTTTCAAAACTGATGTAGCCATTTTGGTTCCTTTGTCTTTTCATATACATTATAGAATCAATTTGTCTGTATCTACAAAAAGACTCTACTGGACTTTTGATAGGAATTACAATAACTCTATATATTGACAGAAATGATATTTTGGATGTTGAATCTTCCAGAGCCTGTACATGGTATGTCTCACCATGGTCTTCTTTGGTTTCTTTCATCAGCATTTTGTAATTAATGACATATAGATACTTAACATGTTTCATTTATACTTATTTTTTTCTTAATGCTGCTTTAAATTGGATTGCATGCATTTCTTTTTCCAGTTGTTCATTGCTACCAGATAGACATGAGTGATTTTTGTGTATTGATCTTGTATCCTCCAACTATCATAAATTCACTTAATAGTTACATGAATTTTTTCCATAATTCTTTGAAATTTTCTACATTGAATATCATGTTACCTGCAATAGGTGAAGTTTGATTTCTTCCTTTCCAATTTGTATGTCTTTTATTTCATTTTCTTGCTTTACTGCACTGGAAGACTTCCAGTATTAGGTTCAATGGGAGTAGATAAAGAATACATAGTTGCCTTATTCTCAATATTAAGAGAAAAGCATTACTTTTACTTTCACCATTAATTATAAGGTTGGCTGTAGATTTTTTTGTAGTTCTTTATCAAGCTGATGAAGTTTCCTTGTATTCCCAGATTTCTGAGAGGTTTTATCATGAATGCACTGAATTTTGTTAAATGATCTTTCTACATTAATTGATATGCTTTTTCCTTTATTTAAAGTACTAAATGGAGGAATAAAATGATTTTTAAATATTAAATAACCTTACATCCCTGGAATAAAGCCCACTTGGTTGTAGTATATTAATTTCGATATATTGGTGGGATTCTTTGGTATAATGTGAAATATATATTTGGTCTTGGTACCCAGATCCTGGCATGGAGCTCCTAAATGGAATTTCCTGAGTGATAGGAGCATCTTTTGTTACTCATAAGAGGCCCTTACAATTATATAAGTTTATGCTAATGAGATGACTGCTAGGAGGCTCTTAGATAGCTTTAGGATGAGGTCTTTTACCATAAAGAGCAATCTTTGATCAGAGGGTTGAAACTTTCAGTCTCACCCCCTAATCTTCCCAGAAAAGAGAGGAGGAGCGGCTTGAGTTCAATGACCAGTGACTGAATCAATAATGCCTAGGTAATGAAGCCTCTCTAAAAACCTCTAAACGACAGGATTTGGTGAACACAGCCAATTGTAAGGGTAACACACTCTAACTCCATGTGGACAAAAAGGCTGTGCCTGTGACCTTTGTGACGTTGCTGTAATGTACCTCTTCATTTCACTGTTCACTTGCTTCTTTTAGAATAAACTATAATAAAGTGTAGAGCATTTTCCCGAGTTTGGTGGGTCATACTAGCAAATTATTGAATATGGAGAGGAATGAGGACTCCTGAGTTTGTAGCCAAGTTGGAAAGAAATTTGGGTATCCTGGGGACTGGAGCTTGAGACAGGGATGTGAAGTCAAGGCAGTCTTGTGGAACAGAATCCTTAACAAATGTGGAGTTGCATGCTAACTCTGGGAATTCGGTGTCAGGACTGGATCATTGGGCGTACTACTGGTATTGGAGATTCAGAAATTCAACTTGCTAATTCATTATTGGGCAATTTTTCATCTCTGTTCATGAAATATTAGTCTGTAGGTTTTCTTTTTTTGTACTGTTTTTGCCTGGTTTGGTATCAAGGCTAATGTCAGCATCTTAAAATTAGTTGAATTGAGAAGTGTCCCTTTGTCTTCTATTTTCTGCAAGAGCTTATATAGAATTGGAATTATTTATTCTTTAAAGGTTTGATAGAATTTGTCAGTGAAACCACCTGGGCCCGGAGATTTCTTTTTCAGAAAGGTTGGGGGAAAGGTTTTAATCTCTTTAATAGTTTATAATGGTTCCTATGATCTATTTCACTTTGAATGAATTCTGATAGCTTGTAGTTTGCAAGGAATTGTTAAATTATGTCTAAGTTGTCAATTTATGCATAGAAGGTTGTTAATGACAACAACACTATGATCCTTTAAACATCTGAACATCTGTAGTAATATCTTGTTTCATTTTTGTTATTGTTTGCAAAATAACAATCTTTTCTTTTTTCATCAGTCTTGTTAGAGGTTTAATGATTTTGCTGATTATTTTCCAAAAACCAGCTTTTGATTTGCCTTTGTTATTTTTCTGTTTTAAACTTTTATTTATTTTTATAGATTTAGGGGCTATAAGTGCAGCTTTGTTACATGGATATGTTACATAGTGATGAAGTCTGGGCTTTTAGTGTACAATAGTATATACTGTACCCATTAAGTAATTTCTTATCCCTCACATCCCCTCAGCCTCATAGTATAATAATTTCTCAATCCTCACACCCCCTCAGCCTCATGGGTATAATATATACTACTTGCATACATAGTACATATTGTACTTATGAGGTACAATATATACTCAAGATGCAATATATACTCATACAATAATTTCTTATCCCTCACATCTCCTCAGCCTCAAGGGTACAATAGTATATATTGTACCCATGTACAGTACAGTAGTATATATTGTGCCCATGAGGCTGAGGAATATAAAATACAATAAATTACTTAATGGGTACAATACATACTACTGTATACCCCTGAGTTGTACCCATTAAATAATTTCTCATCTCTCACACCCCCTAAGCCTTTTGAGTCTTCACTATTATTCTGTCCTCTATTTCCATGTGTACATATTTAGCTTGTATTCATAAATGAGAATATGCAATATCTGATTTTGTTTCTGAGTTATTTCACTTAAGACCGTTCCAACCATGTTGACGTAAAAGACACAATTTTTTTTTGTTTTTTTTTGTTTTTTTGTTTTTTTTGAGATGGAGTCTTGCTCTCTTGTCCGGGCTGGAGTATAGTGGTGTGGTCTCAGCTCACTGCAACTTCTACCTCCCAGGTTCAAGCAATTCTCTTGCCTCAGCCTCCTGAGTAGATGGGATTACAAGCGCATGCCACGACACCCAGCTAATTTTTGTATTTACTAGTAGAGACGGGGTTTCACCATGTTGGCCAGGCTGGTCTTGATCTCTTGACCTTGTGATTCATCCACCTCAGCCTCCCAAAGTGTTGGGATTACAGGCGTGAGCCACTACGCCCGGCATTTCATTCTTTTTTATAGATGAGTAGTATTCCATGGCATGTATGTATATGACATTTTCTTTATCCAATCATTTGTTGATGAGAACTTAGGTTGATTCCATAGCGTTGCTATTGTCAACAGTGCTGTAAAAAACAAATGAGTACTGGCATCCTTTTGGTATAATGATTTCTTTTCCTTTAAGTACCCAGTAGTAGGGCTGCTTCATGAAATGAGAATCCTGTTTTTATTTCTTTAAGGAATCTCCATACTGTTTCCACAGAGGCTGTATTAATTTTCATTCCCAGTGACAGCGTATCAGTGGTCCTTTTGTCTACATCCTTGCCAACATGTTATTTTTTGACTTCTTAATAATAGCCATTCTGACTGGTGAAAGATGGTATATTTCATTGTGGTTTTAGTTCTTATTTCTCTGATGACTAATAATGTTGAATATTTTTTCATGTTTATTGGTCACTTGTATGTCTTCCTCTGAAAAATGTCTGTTCATGCCCTTTGCCTAGTTTTTAATGGGGTTGTTTTTTTCTTGCTGAGTTGAATTCCTTGTAGATTTTGGATATTAACCCTTTCTCAGAGGTTAAGTTTGCAACTATTTTCTCCCATTTTGTAGGTTATCTGTTTACTCTGTTCATTATTTATTTTGCTGTGCAGAAGCCTTTTAGTTTAATTGAGTTCCATGTATCTATTTTTGATTTTATTATGTTTGCTTTTAAGGACTTATTCATAAAGTCTGCCTAGGCCAATGTCTAAAAGAGTTTTTCCTAGGTTTTCTTCCAGGATTTTTTTTTTTTTGAGACAAAGTCTCACTCTGTTGCCAGGCTACAGTGCAGTGGTAATCCTGGCTCATTGAAACCCCATCCTCCTGGGTTTAAGCGATTCTCCTGCCTCAGCCTCCAGAGTAACTGGGACGACAGGCGCACGCCACCACACCCAGTTAATTTTTTTATTTTTCGTATAGACGGGGTTTCACCATGTTGGCCAGTATGGCTTCAATGTCTTGATCTTGTGATCCACCGGCTAAGGCCTCCCAAAGTGCTGGGATTACAGGCGTGAGCCAACGCACCCAGTCTCTTCCAGCATTTATACAGTTTTAGGTCTTCATTTAAGAGTTTAATCCATCTTGAGTTAACTTTTGCATATGGTGAGAGATAGGGGTCCAGTTTAATTTCTCTGCATAGGCTAGTCAATTTTCCCAGCATCATTCATTGCAGAGACTGTCCTCTCCCTATTGTGTATTTTTGTCAACTTTGTTGAATACTGGTTGGTTGAAGGTATGTGGCTTTGTTTCTGGGTTCTCTACTCTGTTCCACTGATCTGTGTGTCTATTTTTATAGCAATACCATGCCAACTACTTATAATAAATCCTGTCTCTATCCATTCTATTAATTTTGTATCTCTCCAGAATCCTGACTAAAACCAATATGCTACTCTGTGGAATTTGAAGATAGAGGACAGGGCCATGAGTCAAAGAATGCTGGTATTCTTTAGAAGCTGGAAAAGGAAGAGAAACAAGTTCTCCCCTAGAGCCTCCAGAAAAGCAAGTAGTGCTAACACTTTGACTTTGGTCCAGTGAAACTTACTTTCGGACTTCTGAATTCAGAACAGAATAAATCTGTGTTTTCTTAAAAGATACAATATTTGTGCCAATTTGTTACTATGGCAATAGGAAGCTAAAATAAAACCAGGGTCACTCTTGGTACCTTTCTACAATATTGTATCAGTCACATTTAAAGCGGATGAATGGATAAACAAAATGTGGTGTATCCATGCTGTGGAAAATTACTTGGCAATAAAAAGACATGAAGAACTGATATATCTGACATTAAGGGTAAATCTTAAAAACACTATGCTAAGTGAAACAAGCCAGTCATGAAGGATCATGTATTATAACGATTTAATTTCAGTCAAATGACTAGGATAGGCAAATCTGCAGAGACAGAAAATGGATTTGTGGTTGTCTACAGCTTGGGAGGTAATGGCTTAGAAGTGTGAGATTTTCTTTTTGGGGTAATAAAAATGTTCTAAACTCACTGTGGCAATGGATGCACAGCTCTGTGGATATACCTCAAGCTATTAAATTGTACACTTTCAAAGTGTGAAATTTACGGTATGTGTATTTATCTCCACAAAGGTGTTAAACAATTATACATTTACAAAAACATTAATGAAGCAGAATAAAAGTATAAAAAAATCCTAGGAAAAAAGAGCACCGATAAGATATATCATATTTCTCTAGTCAAGAATATATGCAACTTATTTAAATAGGTAATGTGTTCATTATATAGTAGTCATACAAAATGCACTCCTCACACAAGTGTTTCAATGTTGATGAACATGAAACTCAGTTTAATTTCTTCTGTTTTGCAGTTATCATATACAGTGTAGCCATCCTCTAAACAAACAGATGTTTTAAAAACTTTTTAAAAAGCAAACACAATCCAAACAGCTATTTCATTACATTCTTTAGCTACCTGTCAGATTAATGCATAATGGGGCAAGTCAACTATGCTCACCTTCCCCACAGTCACATCCATTAAAATTGTTTTCTGTGTTCCTTAGAAAGTTGACAGAAGAATGAATGTGCTATTTTTAAAGCGCAGGTTTAAAAAAATTCATGTGCTTGGCATACTTCATAGAAGAATAACTGTTTCTGAATCTTCAAAAAACAAAATGTCAAGTAAGTATTCTTAAGTTTACAGATTAAAACCCAAAGATTGTATAATTTTCTTGAATCACATGCATATTTAACTAGAATTTATGGTACAATATTTATTCTGAAGGAATAAAAACATTAAAAACTATTGAAAGCATCAGGTTATAGAAACTCACATAGAACATTAAAACTAATCTACAAATGTTAAGTATTATTGTTATTGTGGTGTTATATATATTAGTTTTCTTCCACGGTTCCGGGCTCAAAACTCCCACAGCCCTTGTTACAGTCTTTTGTTACAATGCTGGGTGTGTTTGGCCTCTGAGGCAGGCCTCTGACCTCCTGCCCTCTGTTCACTCTAATGTTCCCTGCCTTTCTGATTGTGGGTCTTAAGACCTTCCCATCAGAGAGTCCCAATCTATACCCTGGGGAAAGAATGCTGATGCCATGAAGCCTCCATAAAAACCCAAGAGGAAAGCGTTCATTAAACATCCGTGCTGAACAAATGGAGATTCCTGGAGGGAGCTGTGACCAGGGAGGGCATGGAAGCTCTGAGCCCCTCCCCCGCACCACACTCTATGCATCTCTTCATCTGTATCTTTTATAATAAACCTGTTAATGTAAGTAAGTGTTTCTCTGAGTTCTGTGAGCCACTCCAGCAAATTAATTGATGCCAAAGAGAAGGGCATGGGAACAGCAACCTCAAGCTGGTTGGACAGAAATTTCAGAGGCCTGAACTTGCAGCTAGTGTGTGTGTGTGGGAGCGGTCTTGCCCTTAACCTGTTCTGACACTATCTCTGGAAGTGTTAGAACTGAATTGGAGGACACACAGCTGGTGTCTGCTGCTTTGTGTATGGGGGGAGAAAACCCCACACATATAGTCACGGAAGTCATCTATGTTAGTGAATGCTGTGGTGTTAGGTTACAGGAGAGGAAAAGCCTAGGCAAAGAGAGTTTTTTCTGCACAATTATATTACAAAAGAGATGTAGAAAACTGTGGTTAGTCAACTCAAAGAATTTTGTTAATCATGTTATAATAATATTTCTTAGAATTTTTTCATGTACCCTCTGCCTCACATCATCTGTGCCTTGGCAAGTGTTGCTCTCCCTGGAAATGTACTCCCCATTTAGCCGCTGCTAAGTATTTCTAATTCCTTTGACACAGAGTTTAAGTACCACCTTCTCCCAAAAGCCTTTCCTGACACTTTCCACATGGCAGACTATATAGGGAAGGGGCTCAGTGTAGGGAGAATGGAAGTAACATCACTTCTTGGGCAAGTTGGGTTTCCTGGGAAGGAGATTTGAGATGGAGACAGAACAGCAGTAAATTTATTATACTGAACTCTACAGAGGTAGAGAGAGAATGCAGACTGTGACGCAGTCTTAACAAAGGCCTCAATCTACCCCACAGGAAGCTCTGAAGTTGGGATGGTCATTCCAAATTGTCCTCCGTTATGGTGGAAAGGTTGGGACTTTAACTGCCTGGTCAATTATATGATATGATAAAGGAGGCGTACCATTGGAAGAAGTGGCCTTCTTTGTTAAAGATAATTGCCAGAGAGTGTTAATAGCAAATGGCTATCAGATGGCAGCATTCTCAGCAGCCCAGGAAATAGGTCCTTAAGTCCTAAAGGGAGATCTGGGTAGCACTACGCTGCTTATGTACTATGTGCTAGGTACTCAGCTTTGATACATTATACAGTTTAATTCCTCCAGTCTTATGAGGCATGGATTCGTATCCCTATTGTATTCATGAGATAAGCAAGGCTGAGAGAGGTTAAAAAACTCATGGAACATCTCACATTTAGTATACGTTAAACTTACAAAATCTATATTCTTTCTCTTAATTACATCTGCCTTTCAGGTAGTTCACATTCAAGGAATGTTAAGAGAATAAATTTGTTTAAAAGTTTGGCTTTTTGAGGCAAGCAAGACCTACATCAATTGCTAGCTCCATTTGCAAGATAAAGCTGAAGATCAGATGTACCAGAGCTAATACAAGGACACTTGGTTAGGAAATGATGCTGCAGCTATAACCAACGACCATTCCAACTCTGCACACCATATAAAGCAATGCTGTCCAAAATAACATTGTGTTAACAGAAATATTCTCTATTTTAAATCTCTCTCTCTCTCTCTCTCTCTCTCTCTATATATATATATATATATATATACACACACATACATACATACATATAACTTTTTCTTAAATTAGAGGTGGGGGTCTTGCTCTGCTGCCCAGACTGCCAGACTGGTCTTGAACTCTTGGCCTTAGGTGATTCTCATGCCTTGGCCTCCCAAAGAAGGATTACAGCCATGAGCCACCAAGTCCAGCTGTTCTATTTTTTTTTCTTTCCAAGGCAGGGATTTGCTCTGTCAGCTAGGCAGGAGTGCAGTGGCACAAACACGGCTCACTGCAGCCTTGACCTCCTGGGCTCAAGTGACCCTCCTGCCTTGACCTCCCGAGTAGCTGGGACCACAGGCACCTGCTGTTATGTCTCGCTATTATAAAAATTTTTTTTGTAGAGACAGGACCTCACTATGTTATCCAGGTTGTTCTGGAACTCCTGGGCTCAAGCAATTCTCTCTCCTCAGCCTCCCGAAGTTCTGTAACTACAGGTGTGTGCCACCATGCCTGGCTTGTCTCAGTTTTTGATTTTGGCCATCCAAGTGGGTGTGAAGTGGTATCTAATTATGGTTTTGTTTTGAATTTCACTAATGACTAATGATATTCAGCAAATTTTTATATGCCTTTTAGTCCTACGCATATCTTCTTTGGAAAAACGTGTCTTCACAGTTTAAGGTGAAAAGTGAGCATTAACCTCTCCTGCTAGAATGCATGGCCAGAGTAAATGTCTCAATTTACTCATTTATCTTCTGCCTTATACAGTGTCATCCACACATAAGAACTTCAACTGCTGACATCACTTCCTCCAGAAAGTCTTCCTATTTGCATTCCTGTAGACTAGGAGAAACGGCCCTGCTGTACATTTTTCTTTTTTTTTTGAGACAGAGTCTCACTCTGTTGCCTGAGCTGGAGCGTAGTGGTACAATTTTGGCTCACTGCAACCTCAATCTCCTGGGCTTGGGTGATCCTCCTACCCCAGCCTCCTGAGTAGCTGGGACTACAGGTATGAGCCACCATACTCAGCTAATGTTTGTGTCTTTTGTAGAGACAGAGTTTCACCATGTTGCCCAGGTTAGTCTTGAACTCCTAGGCTTAAGTCATCCTCCTGCCATGGCCTCTGAAAGTGCTGGGATTACAGGCATGAGCCACTGCACCTGGCCGGGCTTGCTGTACATTTTAATCATATCTTGCACTAGTCCCTCACAGCACTTAACTACCAAACTGGGCGGTTAGACGGAACAGTCATCAAAACAAGAACAAGGGCATGTATGTCTTGTTCATTTCTTTTTAAAAATTATTTTACTTTTATTCTTATTTTTGACACAATAATTGCCCATATATATATACGGTAAAGTGTGGTATTTTGATTCATGTATACCATGTGTAATGATCAAATCAGGATAATTAGCATACAATGTTTGAGATAATTTACTTATCTCAAACATTTACCATTTCTTTGTAGTAGGAATACTTGAAACTTGCCGTTCTAGCTATTTGAAAATATACAATAAATTGTGAAGTCATCCTATCGTGCTATAGAACACTATAATTTATTCCTCCTCTTAGCTATATTTTTGTATCTATTAACCAACCCTTGGCTTTCACCTATTCCACAATAACCTTCTCTATCTGAAGTAACAACTATTCCACTCTCTACTTCTGAGATAAACTATTTTAGCTTCCACATGAATGAGAATGTGGTTATTTATCTTTCCATACTTGGATTATTTCACTTAATACAAAGTCCTCCAAGCTCATCAAGCTGTTATGAATGACAAAATTTCAATTTTTAACGGCTAAATAGTATTCCATTGTGTTTATATATCACATTGCAAAAGTCCATTCACCTTTTGGTGAATAGTTGGCTTCATTTGATAACTTGGCTATTGTAAATAGTGCTGCAATAAACATGGGAGTGCAGGTATCCCTTTGATTTCCTTTCCTTGGGATAAATACTCAGTAGTAAGACTGCTGGAACATATGACAGGTATGCTAGTTCTATTTTTTGTATTTTTTGAGCAACCTCCACACTGTTTTCCATAATGGCTGTACTAATTTACTTTCCCACCATCAATGTATAAGAGTTTCCCACTTTCTGCATCCACAACAGCATTTACTTTTGGTTTTCTTTGTTTTATTTTTGAGAAAAAGTCTTGCTCTGTCACCCAAACTGGAGGCCAAGGCAGGAAGACACCTTGAGCTCAAGAGTTCGAGAACAGCCTGGTCAACATGGTGAAATCCCGTCTCTACCAGAAACACAAAAATTAGCCAGTGTTGTGGTGCACACCTGCATTCAGGGCCCCCCAATGGCATATGTACACACCAGTCCTGAGAGGGGTGGCAGGGGAGTCCTCAGGCCCTTGGTGAAACCTGCTGAGGTCTCTGCATGGGGAGTGAAGGGTGGTCCCAGTATCATGGCTTTGGCAGGCAGGAATAGAATCTGCTTCCTTCACTTGCCTTTGTACAATGTTCAGAATATTCAGTTAGGTTAGACAATGCTGTTTCCTTTTAGGCTGCAATGCTATTTACTTCTAGGCTGAAACTGTATCAGATTTTGTAGTGGTTGTGCAGGTTGATCTCCTGGCCAGTAGGCAATGTTTGCAGGTGAGAGCCAGCTGCAGTGGTGGTAGCAGAGTTAAGGCTTGACCTTTGTTAACCAGATCTACTTGGGTTTCCCAGGCAATGTGTTCGGCCATGAAATTCTCAGTGGTCTCAGTCCTGTACTTTGCTTCCAAGGCAGGGATGAGAGTAAAGCTGCTGGCATTGGGTAGAGGAGAAAGCAGGGTGGGGCTAAGATAGGCAGGTCTATACCTGGTGTTCCTAAAGGCCAGCAGAAGTGCCAGCCCTGATGGGGGTTGGAGGGTAGTTCTCAGGCCACTAAAGCAATAGTTCAGGGAGAAGTAGAGAAACTCTTTCTGTTCCAACAAACCAGCATGGGGAAAGTGGGAGGGCTCAGTTTGTAGCCTAGCAGATAGTCGTGCGTGAGACCTGCCTTGCTCTCATGCTTTCAACCTAGTAGGACACCATCTTGTGGGCTGCCATTGGCATCAAGCTAGGGCAGCCAGCCAAGTCACAAGCAGTTTGTCTTTGGACTGCAAAACAGCCCCAGGCCATAAAACTGTGGCTCCCAGGTGAAACCCTCCCAGCCCAACTCCAGGATGGAGGGTTCCCGAATCACATACCCTTGGCTGGAGCCAGTGCCAAACTCACTTCTCAGCTCTGGCCTGGTTCTCAGGACCACACACAGTCTGTTAAAAGGTAGGATCAAGAGTGGTGTCTTACAATGGCCACTTAGGTTTCAGAAAGGGCATGGGATGTTCTTTCCCTGGAGCAGTTTTTTTTCTCATAGTCTCCTAGCTATTCCCTAAATTAAATTCAGGACTTGAGAGGGACATGGTACTCTCCTATGGTCTGGATTGTATGATTCCCCAGTGGGAAAGTGGACTGTAGAAAGAGTCTCATTCACCTTTTCCTGTATTGGGGAATCACTCCCAGTTCCTGGCGCACCCTGGTCAAGTAGGCTTCCCGTTTTCCTTCTGCTTCCTATTTTTTTCTTGTTGCTTTTCTGTTGACTTCTCATGTTCCTTCTTGGAGAATATATTCTAAATGTAATAGTCTACATGGTATTTTGGTCTTCCAAGTATGAGGTGTGCTTGAAACACTTCTAGCCAGCCATCCCTACTACTTGGCCACAAGGTTGTGTTGGAGAGCCCTGACATGAATGGCCACAAGAAGTTCCAGTTCTTCACACCCCTGAGGGCAGCAGATAAGGGAAGAAGAATAAGGTCCCTGGGCAAAGAAAGACCTGGAGGAACTGGAGACTATTCCACCTTTCCTAGAGTGACAGTTCTTAACTCCAGTGACTGTTGCTCAGTGGTGAAATGATGTGTCTGGGTAGCCATGGGGGCAAAAGCTCACAGCTGAAGGGCCGTGGCCTATGCCGCTCCATCAAGATTTTAACACATTTGGCTTTAATGATTCTTTTAATATACATTAAAATAGAAGGCAGATGTCTTAAAGAGTTTAATATAAAAAAGACATCCTGAAACACTCAATGGAATTTCTGAATACAGAATGTTAGTGCTGGTACCGAGTGCCAAATTTCGGTTATTTATTTGCAGATTCTAGCATAATGCTTTCTAAGCATAGCCAAATCATTAAATAAATGGCACAGTAAAAAAGATTGTGCAGTGAACTTGATCTACTTCTAATTGAGCGATCCACTCTATTCTACTACTAAGTGAATGATCTTAGACTTATAAATCACTTAAGTTCTCTGTGCTCTAATTAATTCATAAATAAGAAGTAGGCTATGTGATTTTATATTTCCTTTCAGCCTTAAAAGCCCAGGAGTATAATTTTTTAAAAGTACTGAAACACAGAAATCTATGTGCCTTAATAAAAGTAAATAAAATTCATGACTAGAGAGATTTACTAAAAGACAAATGAGAACAAAATACACAGATCAGTGAACTAAACAACCACCATTAGACAATCCTCCTTCCCATGGGAACAAAGAGTTCAAGATGATTCTTGGTGCAGAATTTCACAGTGAGACAATGGACTAAAAACTAGAGAAAATGTTAATTAATGTATTATAATACAAAAAGGTCAAACCTGTAAGTGACTTACTGAGTCTGTGTTGATTTAGAATAAAAATAAATTCTATTTCAAACCGGCACTCTTTCCAATTTTTCTTTCTTTTTTCTTTTTTGAGATGGAGTCTTGCTCTGTCACCCAGGCTGGAGTACAGTTACATGATTCAGCTCATTGCAACCTCCGTCTCCTGGGTTCAAGCAATTCTTCTGCCTTAGCCTTCAGAGTAGCTGAGATTACAGGCGCCTGCTACCACGCTGGCTAATTTTTGTATTTGTAATAGAGACAAGTGTTCACCGTGTTGCCAGGCTGGTCTTGAACTCCTGACCTCAAGTGATCTGCCTGCCTCAGCTTTCCAAAGTCCTGGGATTACAGGTGTGAGCCATTGCGCCCACGTATTCCAATTTTTCTAGCTAAATATTTCATGACCAACAAATAATAAATGATAATAATATAGGGAATGTCTGATTTGACAGATTATCAATTATAAAAC